TGTACCAGCCGACTAGTGCTGTACTCCTCTTGGAGGGAAATTCGAAGCGGCTCCTCCATATTTGTCGCTTGCACCCGGAATAGCTGCGCGCGTGTAGGGCCGACCTTCAGGTCGTCCATGAAGCCTGTTGCCTTGATATGTTCAGGCAGAGAATATCCTGCCAGAGATGCCACCAGCGTGTGCATCTGTTGCACGTACACCTGCAGCTCACGGCTACCTGTCTTACACGCGGAACGTGAGCGCTGGTGGACTTCGTTGTGAGCCGGTAGGAGCGCGGCTCGAAGCTGTACACACAGCTGAGCCCAGGAAATTTCGTCTCCCTGGTGTATGCTCAGTGCTTGGCACGTTCATCAAGGTTTAACAGGGAAAAATCCACCCGAAGTGGCTCGTCCCAGATCTGACACGTCTTCACGGCGATTTCCACCTCACGGACTCAAAAGTGAAGGACCTCTCCTTCCTTCTCCTAAAACGCGGGTACCTCCAGCCTTTTCGGCGTCGGCATGGTTGCCTGGGGAGCAGCCAACGAGGCCTCCAAGCTCCCGCGAACGTGAGCGATGAGACAATGCTCGCAGGCCTCAAACGCAGCCGCACGATCATGTTGCTTGGCAGGCGTCGCCGTCGCCAAGCTGCAAAGGACATGTTGTCCAAAAATTTATCCTATCCTCCGAACAGACTCGTACTGTGAATCGTTCAAGAGAGGAAACTCACGTCGGCCCATCGTTGCTCAGACGTAGAGCACACAGAGATTTCAGGTAGTTCATTCTACCCGAAGACGCTGGATTGACTACGAGTGCTACCAAGTGTGGCGGGGTCACACAGCACCTTGCACAGAAGAAGTGCTTAAGGGTATTTACTACCAAAGTGAGCGTTAGTCCACGTGTTCTTGGGCTCCGTAGGAACGGTTTGCTACTTGGAAGAGTAGATGTAAGACTGACGTACTTATACGAAAGCTTAGCTTAGTTCTAATACAAACTAGAGGTCATCTAAAGTGAAGCTATGCCCTGACTGGCTCCTAGAGCATTTGGTACCGTGTACCAGGTGTCCACAAGAGTGACGGGTCACTCTATACGTAACCTGAGGGTACACTGGATTGTACCCCGTTACAAAATGGTATGATCAACGCAACTGTATCAACTCTGTGGACTAGCAGTAATAATTTTATGCGAGATCGACGACAACCAAAAATAATAAATATGGCAAAAAAATACCAGTACCGTGGTATTATTTATTATAAAATGTTTTCTGGTCCTACTACTTCTTTCGCTAAGAAACAGAATATTAGTGTACCTATCCAATCATCGCGGCGATAGATAGACACTGCAGATGCATGACGAAAGAAATAGGAGTTCTTCAATCCATCGGATAAAACATACGTTTAAAGACTGCGTACTGTATTATTGTACTGGCGAGATGAAATGCACCACCATTTTTTTGTTTTGCCCATAAATACAAAAGTAATTATCGGATTAATGCCGGCAGACCCCCAATGGAAACAGGGTAGCACAGAGATCACAGACAAACACACATTGTTCGACTTTCTTGTCATTTATTAAAATGGTGGAAGCTCAAACGTCTGCGGGAAATTGATGCTGATCATGCATGCACAGAACATTTCTTGCGATATTTAATAAACAAAGAAGCCTAAAGTGACAAGCTTTACGCCAGAATGCAGCTTGGAATGCAACGCATCTGCAAAAGTTGGTTTTAGCTACAGGAGCAGCGTAGGGATTGCTGCATGCAGTGCTAAACGCATCGCCGACAGCCCCACTTCCTAGGATCAAATGTGCATAGAAATGAGTAAAAAGGGCATTGTTGATTGTAATACTAAAGTTTGTAAGGACCAAAACATCTGATGCCATATGTCAAGAACATAGCCTCGTTTTTTTGGTGGAACGAAAGACACGCACTTTTCGATTAAGTGTAGCATGTGCATTTGAGCATATATTCAAGTATGATTATGACTACTTAAGAGAAGAAATCGTTATCTTTCCAACAACAAAAGCTCATATAAATTGGGTAATTGGGTGAGAAGTTGTGAAGGGGCAATGTTTGGTGTTGGGTTTCATCTTGCCAGTACAATAGTCGTTTACAGCTTAGAGGGACCCACGCCAGTCTCCATGGTGTACACTTGGCCTCCGTCCGAAGCAATCACCATTCCAGTAATCCATCCGGACGCCTTGGATGACAGAAAAATAGCAAGACCAGCCATGTCCGAGTCCAGACCGAATCTCTGAATGGGAATACCCGTTGCAAGGTCGTCCATGCCGAGACCAGTAACCACCGATATGCCCTTGGACATCTTGGACGGCACAAGACCCGGCGCAATGGCGTTCACGAGGATGTGGCCGCCGTTCGGACGACGCGCCAGCTTAGCTGCCAGCCCGCGAGTCATGTGATGAATGGCAGCCTTGGACGTGTCGTAGGCGATAGTATCGATCTGCTGGGGCATAAGGCCAGCTACTGAGCCAACATTGATGACACGAGCCGCGTCAGACGTTGTTGCTGCCTTGTCCAGCAGTGGTAAAAGAAACTTGGTCAAGTGGAAGGGCGACGTCACGTTGACCGTCAGCACCTTGTTCCAGGCCGATTCCGTGTGATGGTCGAAGTCTCCACCCCACGAGACGCCCGAGTTGTTGATGAGCACGTCCACTTTGCTCTCCCTTTGAGCGATCTGCTCGGCCAGCTCCTTGCAGCCAGCTTCACTCAGCAGATTGGTTTGCAGCTAGTTAAATAACAGAGTCAGATACGGCTTTCATTGCAATTGTAGCAGTCACCGTTAGTTACCGGGATGCATTTGCCAGGGCCCTTGGCATTGAGCTCCTTGGCGGTGGCTTCGCACGCCTCAAGACTGCGTGAGGCGATGTAGACTATGGCTCCGTTCTGCACGAAGCCATCGGCCATCATCTTGCCGATACCTCGTCCACCGCCCGTGATGACGACGACCTTGTTCCTGACGTCGAAGAGATTGTTCAGGTTTAAAGCGCTCATTGCTGCAACGGGAGACGTTATTAGACGTGTTCACGAAGAGGGAAGATTAGATTGTGAACAGACTTGACGTCGAAGTTTTTAGCAAGAACGTCAAGTAAACAATAAAGGTTCAATTGGGCGTGCTGTACACCACATTAGTGTGGTACACACTCTTAAATAACAAACGCGGGCTATAAACTGGATAAAGGCACCAAACAGGGCTAGGGTGTAAAAGGTGATGCTCCATCCGAAACGGAATTTAATGAATCCGTGCTAGTGCTTTAAATTGTAAGCGCTTGAGAGGTTGGCTTGGGCATGACCTAGCTAGCTATACTCAGAGCCGTGTCGGTGCTCCCTTGATCATGCAGGGCACTTCTTTGGTGATAACATTGCCGCCGGTGCTGATGAATTTCAGGATTTGCGAGACACGACATCGTGTCATTTTATACAGTGCGTAGTGGGTAATACAGTAAAACATTCTTTGTTTCGTGCCCCAACATTCTTGGTTTCGCGTCTTTAAGCTGTTTGGGGCCCCAACAATGCTGGGCCAACACACATTTTTTACGAGTTCTCGTTTGGTGCCTCTATCCTTGACCATTTTTTAATCTACTTACCGGTATTGTGAATTCCGGTCAAATTTGCCTAATTCTCCGGCTTTCCCGATACAAAAATTAAGAGAATCGACAGACAAAGTTACGGATGGTACCCTGTCGCTCCATTAAAGTCCGACGCCTAATCCAAAATGAGCAATAGTGATATCAAGTGCATAAGCCGATAGGATCGGTTTTTGGCTCGGCCCATTTAATCAGCCCATCCTGGAAACTTCGACTAGAACCCGCGAATAATTTGATTTCACATCCTGCGAGGTATTATAGCGGCAGAAAATGATGGGGCTAGCTAATCCAAAATAAATTATTATCTTTGGATAATCGGCGATAACTTCACCAAAATAGCCTTAAATTAAGTGCAAAGGGCGCGGATAGAAAGCTGAGGTTTCGTAGTTCCTTCTTCCATAAATTAAGACTCTTCATCTCTTTCATTTCAGGAAGTGCAATGCAACGCAGACACCAGCTCAGTCCGGACGAGATAACCCTAGTTTGCAATGTATATGATTATTTCGTCGCCGAGGCCAAAGCAGGCAGAAGTGGAGGGCGGGACTCGCGCGATCGAACTAAAGAGGCGACGCGCCTTGGGAAAAGCACAGTTTTTCGGGTGCTCTGGGCATGGAACCTCGACCCAGACACCAATTTCGCCGAGGTGCGCTTGTCATTTTGGCCTATGTAGGGTTAAAACCGCTCTGTCGTGATATCATATGAAAATCTTATAATTTAAGGCACTCGTTATTTTGCCCGACTGAGGTAACATAGCATCGACTTTTATACGTGTACAGAAAGTATAGTACGGTTAAATTGGAGTAAAGGTAGGACACTAGCGCGTTTGCACTCGTCTGCGGACTTATAGCCGTGGGCCCGCCCCTCTCTTCGCTTGCTGCGCTGCGCTCGGGGGGCGCCGCTGCGCGGCCTGCCCCACCCGGTCTCTAAGTCCTCGACTCGGCAAGGCGCTGTGTCTGGGAATAGAAATTAATTCCGAGCGAGTGTTGCCAAGACCGTCGGCTAAGTCCATTTTATGCATGTTGGGGAGTATAATTGTATAGTCGGTTAGCCAGTCGGGCAAAATACTCACTTCCATAATTTAATGCTTTCGCTAGTAGAAGGTACCATTCAGCACGAGGTCGCAAGAAGCTCATGAGGAAGATGGTGAGTAATTACTCTTTAAATTTATACAAATCCTTCTTTTTAAATTTGAACGTTTTATTTTTAAAGCCTGTTTGTACAACTGTTTTGCCCTTTCCACACTCTTGACCAATAGAATATCAGCATTATAGCAACTGTTTCCCCGTTTAAAGGTCCTCGGAGACACCTTTTTAGGGAGCCTGTAGCGACAAAACTACTGCGAATTAGCCGGTTTTAACACCAAAATCATACTCAAAATGGGCGGTTTTATCACATATCTAAATGTCATATCTGGTTTTATCAAAATTGAGCACCCCATGGGGATTTGATTACTAGCCCCTTCATTTTCTGCCGCTATAATACATGCAATTGAATGCTTAAAAGAGTTAGCAGTAAGTAAACATGTAGTAGTAATAGAATAATTTACCGGACAAGCTTTCGATACGAGAGCTGATTCTGGTACTTCGTACTACACGTTTGGTACAGTAAGTTATTACTTCGTACTTTATGGGAATTAATTAAGTTGCAAGGTGTCCATCATTTCGGCTGACATACAGTACTTTAAGTAGCAGCACATTTTTCTTGACGGAATGCCAATGACGAAGTTGAAACCCTAGAGCTTCGATGGACCTACTCCGGTCTCAGCAGCGCCAATCATACCTCCATCAGTCGTGATAACTTGGCCAGAAATCCATCCAGACGCCTTGGAGGCCAAGAAAATAGCCAGCCCAGCCATGTCCGAGGCTTCTCCCATTCGTCCAACTGGGATTACATGCCCAATCTCTTCGAAGCGCTTCCCCGTTACGTACGCGACGCCCTCAGTCAACCTCGAAGGAACATATCCCGGCGTGATGGAGTTGACAAGGATGTGTCCGCCATTCGGGCGACGGGCAAGCTTGGCGGCCAGAATGCGGGTCAAGTGGTGCAGCGCCGCCTTGGACGAGTCGTACACCATCGTGTTGAGCTTTTGCGGCACGATTCCTCCGATCGAACCAACATTGATGACTCGGGCCGCATCCGACGTCGTTGAAGCCGCATCGAGAAGTGGTAGCAAGAACCGAGTAAGCAGATACGCCGATGTCACATTAAGAGCGAAGGTTTCCCGCCACACTGCGCACAATCACAAAACATCAATAACGTTATGACTGCAGAGAGAGGGAGAGAGTAGGTTGCGTGAGCTAAACACAACAAACCGGATGCTGGGGTGTTTTCAACGGGGGTGTCCGATCCATCGCCCGAGTTATTAATTAGCACGTCAAGCCGCGACTCTCTCTTGATAATCTCGGCAGCAAAAGCCTTGCACTCGTCCTCGCTTGTCAGATCCACTTTCAACTACATGCACGCGTAGCCACACCAATCAGAACAGTCACACCTTCCCTCTGTAGTTTTGTTGTAAGACTTCACGTGCGGCTATGCAAACGCCGGGGCCCTTGGTGTTAAGCTCTTTTGCAACGGCTTGGCATGTGTCGAGCTTGCGCGACGCAATGTAGACTTTTGCTCCGTTCTGCACGAATCCGTCCGCGATCATTTTGCCAATGCCGCGACCCCCTCCCGTCACAATCACCACCTTGTCTTTGACATTAAAGAGCTCGGCTGCGCTCAATGAACCCATGGTTGCGCTGCTCTAGGTGTATAGTGTTTCGTGCAGTTTTCGGATTGTGTGTCGTGGATTGCTTTTGGGGAAAGGGAGTATTTTTGAAGATACCAGTACCGGAACACCAATTAGTCGTAGCCCCCTTGGGCATTTGTGTGTGGTCGATTTAGAAACAAGGGGGGATGGCTCGCTTAATTTATCCCTAAAATAGTCCTAGCTTTTATTCAGTATTTAACCTAAAGCCCAACCTTTCCCAAACCCATGTCATCGACGACGAGCACGAGTGAGCTGTTCCTGTATCGATGGGACCTCGCAGAGTCTGCCGGTACGTCTACTACAGATTAAAAAGGGTAAATGACGTTGGAAGCATGAACGAAGCTGATCTTGTTGTGTATTAACTATCTAAAGGCGTTATTCGTACAAACGTGAGCGACACAATCCGTCGTACGATCCCTGGCGACTTGGGACTCGTCATTCAGTTTAATCCAAGCCACATCAAGGTAAGTAGGGCAGCAAAAGATGCAAGTTGCTGTTGAGATTCACAAGTCTTGATGGAAATACGCAGAACAAGCGCCCAGTGGACAAACAGCTACTCCAGTCTCAGCCTCATCAACCATTTGTGAAGCCAACAGAATCATCATTCGACTTCACCAAAGTCAAGTACGACTGCTCAATGGGCTTGTACTTTAGTCACCAACTAATTATTATGTTTAGGAGGGCTGAGCTCCTCGGAGGATTAAGCTTTGTAACAGATAACGACGATCAGCTTCCATCGGTACAGTCAGTAGAGGTGGGAAGTGATAACGAGGTGGAGCATTTTGTTCTGGTCAATGTTGCCCCATTGGTACGAAATAATGTCTGGTATTAAGAAGTAAGAAATTATGTTAACAACTAAGATTCTCTGACTTAAAAAAACACACACACAGGTCCGAGGCCACTTGCTGTTTGTGCTCGAGCTGAGTCGTGTAAAGTCGCAGCAAATGACCAAAGAATTCTTGTTGTACGCTCTTAGTATATCACATACACTGCACCGTGAGGACTTCGCTCTGGGTACGTCTCACCTCTTTGCCAATAAAAGGAGCTAGTCCACTTGATTAAAGTGCGCTGGGCAAACTGCAGGATTCAACAGCACTGGGGCGTGGTCGTCTGTGAATCATTTCCATCTCCAAGGCTATTTTTTTCCTCCCATGGGGGATGCTACACGTGCGAATTTCCCTGTTGCAGCGCAGCATAGAGAAGAGATTTTCCAGGTCGGGGGCGCAATTGTGAAGTGTCTACCCAGTTGGAGGACAACCTGCTATGTTATAGAGCCCGAAGACGCTGTTAAGGACGCTGTTCATGTCGTACACATCGCTTGGGCGCTGCTGGAACTTCTTCAGGCTCGAGGAATCCCACACAACCTCCTCGTTGTCGGCACCGTGCTCTTTGTTTTCCCTCGCCAGCCGCAATGTGAGAATGGAGTTGGAATGTTATTCTCCGACAAGTCACTCGATGACTCAGCCATGGTTTACGCCGGTCGACTGCGTGTCGCCGTAGCCGAGCTCTCCGGTCTCATTGTTGCTGGAGACAGCGTCGCGTATGAAAACCTCACCGAGGAGATGTTCAACTCGATCCTGCGACGTGAAGTCTCCCTCTCAGCAGTGCGTATCCGTATTTATTTCAGAATTTAACATGGTTTTAACATGTTGCCGTGGGTTGGCAGGACCACGAAGTAGAACTGGTAGCTGCATGGAAAGCAAAACTCGGAATCACGGCGGATTAGTGCCCACTCTATAGATCGCCAAAGCTGGCCCGCGTAAGGGTATAATGAGACCCAGAATGTTAAGGGTATTTTTGTCGCAATTGGGAGATGACAGCGCGCCTTTTAACCCAGAGGTTATTTTCATCAAACACTTCGATATACATCGGGATGTCAGCGAGGGCGGATTTGGCAAAGTTAATGCTGTCATTCGCAAGAAGGCAAGCCCCGTCAAGTGAAGACGCTGTCCAAGTATTAACCGAAATTGTGGCAGTATGATCTGGAACAAGCGAAATCTCCTCATTCAAGTCCGCAGTCCATTACTCGTGCGAGATATATGTCACATATTTCAGGATTCGTACAACTGCTACGTCGTCATGGACCTGCGGCTTGGTGGAGATCTCAAATACCATCTCAAATTCACACACAAAGATGGTTTTCCAGGGACAGAGGCGAGGTGCTACACAGCCGAAGTATTGTTGTCGCTGGCATATCTCCGTTCTCTCCTAATCGTGGTCGCGACGTCAAACCAGAAAATGTTATACTCGACGTTTGAGACTACCCTCGCCTAACGGACTTGGGCATCTCGGTACCGAGAGCCAACATACGACTTCAAAGTCGTAGTGGCACTGTCGCGTACATGGCTCCAGAGATCTTCCGAGGCTCTACTGACCACGGAATACCGTCAGATTTGTTCATTTTGGGTGTGTTGACATTCGAGTTGCTGTTCAGACGACGGCCTTGGAGCGTGCGCTCGCACCTCGAAAAGTGTCCAAATGCGATCAAGGGGTTTCACGACAAATATTACCCGATAGAACTCTTGGATAGCACAACTGGTACTAAGGCCAAGCTGTCACAAAGTTGTCGATCGTTTCTGCGTGGGCTATAGCATCCACTCGGAGCGCTTGGGTGGTGGCTCCGGCAGCATTATTGAGCTTAAGACGCATGAATGGTCACGAACCTTGAGTGGGACTGTTATCTAGCACTCTCTCGCCACCCTTTGTCCCGGTGGTAGATGAAAAAAAAACCACCTGCGATACAGCTGCCCAAGACTTTGATGACGTCCTCAGTTTAAACTCCCTTGGAGAGCGAATATCAGCTGAAGATCAGGAGAAATTCCAGGAGTTCGAGTTCAACGTCGGTGCCAATAACCCTGTAGCTATATAAACGCATCGAAGCCATCTAGCTCTACTTCGCGCACCACCTGCCGCTTAGTCTTTATCCCGAAGAGTGATGACAGTGAGCTCATGGTCGATAGCTTCTAAAGCCTCCAAGCCCTTGGACTGAATCGGAAGGAAGCCGTTGTTTACGACAATAAGTGGGTTGTCGCAAGTAGGAATCTCAAGGTTGACTCGGATCAGTGTCGCCTGCGGACGACCGCAGCCCTCAATCACATCGGCAACAACCATTTCGGTCTCTCTTCGGACAGAAGGAACCTAACAGGGCGAAAAGAGTGAGCACTCACGCCCTAATACGGCAGCTTTTGACGGTAAAACGAACGGCACGAACCCGAGTCCCACAGCCGATTTCAAGTACCACCAGGTTGAGCGTTGGGTCTTCCTGCAGCATCTATTTGGACACAGCAAAAGGATTAGTGCATTTATTCGAAGGTCGGCAGCAGATGTGACTTACTAGTTCCATCACCGATTCCCAGGCGATATACCCATTCTAACCAAAAAACATGAAGTTAAAGAAGTATTTAGCACACAATACTCCACGTACCTCGTCCGATGTGTTCGCGATCCACTGTCTGTCGTGGAACATGAGTACATTCGGCCGTCCTTTGCCTCCACACTCTGGGCATGTCGTGGCTTCAGCTCCAGGTGCTTTCATCGTCGTCTCATCCACATCAAACCGGAAATCTGCAGGCAGTTTCCAGATCTTCTCACACGGTTCTCTCGCGCCAGTCTCAACGTCACCCGCACACTGCCACATCTCGACGTTGCCATGCAGCTCATACACTTCTGTACGATCAAAGTCGCGCTTGAAGTGCGAATCAACCTACGAACAACTAATCGTCACAAAAATCCAAAAGGCTAAACCGCTAACGATGTTAGACACACGTACATTTGAAGTGTAGACGAAGAATGGGTCGTTTGTCACGCAATCCTTCGTCACCCCCGCTGGAAGAGCTTGGCACTGTTTAAGTCGGTCAAATGCAGCTCGGAAACGTGATTTCGTTCCGTGTATACCGTTGGAATTGGCTTTGACCCGAAGGGCTTCTCTCCATTTGAGTATTATCTGGTATCCCGGGTGGTGCTTGGTGCTCCGGTAGGAATTAGTGCAGCTACCCCAGAAGCCGTAGAAAAGCTCCTCGTCCTGCTCCAGCATATACGGGTCGCACAAATCCTGGTATTCCATGTCCAGCTTGTCGTAGGCGTCGACTTTGGCGATGTCTCTAACATTTTTTTTGAGAAATGTTACAATACTGTTCACTAGCATTACAGGGCGTTCGGAGATTTCCATACGCGTATACTGGAAGAGACGAGTCGGCGGAAAAGCCTGCCCCTGTGGCGATCAGTAGGAAATCGGCGGAAGCGAGTTTCTCTGTAAGGCAACGAACATGCAAGCAGTTAAGCTAGTAAATTGTTTACCTCATGTAATGTGATGAGGAGGCTGTGGGGCACTTTAAAGTGACGTGTACAGTGCGGACACGGTATTGTCGAGTGCAGACAGCGGGCATTATTTGTAGGAAGATCCACGCACCTGCCGCCGCGCTCCAAGCCGTCCGGGTGTTGCTCTCCATGGGAGTTTATGGACCAGAATGAATGTAACAAATTGTTGCAGATAAATTGAAGTGTACTGAATTTGAGAATTACTATTATTTTTGAACATTATAAAACAGAATTGTGGACTGTAAAATAACTTTTATTAATATCTGTATGACTTTTACCGGAGCCCAATGGATATGTACCAGTATTCAAACATGTATAACAGGATATCATGTTTGTCAACTTTTATTTACGAGAGGTTTTGTTAAGGCGAATGCAGTACAGTAAAACCTTTTACAATATTTGTCATGCGCCCTCTGTATGTCCGCGTGCTGGATCACGTGCTGCGCCGCAGCTTCGGCCACCCGCTAAGCGTGCAGCTGCTGGCTCTGAGCTCACTCGTGCTGTTGCTGAGCGTGCTAATGTTCTCGCTGGACCCCTGGCTCGACGACAACTCGCACCAATATATGAGGCGTTTGGCTCCCTCAATCAACGTCCAATTCGACTCATTCGCCGTGGACCACCTCGTGGTGTTCGGGGCTATTTCCCCGCCGTTGACATGGCTACTTTTGGTCCACGTCGCGTACTCGCAGATCGACTCGCGGGTTGAAGCAGCCTTGTTAATACTACGCGTCGCCAGTTGCCTCACTGTCACTTTTGCGCTCACTGTGCTGTTGACCGAGTTTTTATCCAGGAGGGCCATGTTGGCGTTGGTAGCTTTAGTCTACGCGTCGCTGGGGCTGCTCTACTCATGGAGTGTACCTATTTGGAAATGGTATCAAGAAGAGATGCACACGAGAGGTTTGGTAGGATTCCTACCCGACTCCATGCAAGAGTTACTGCTACGGACTTCCCTTTTGGAGTGGCTGACTGACACGAGCTTTTCAGATAAAGTGGCGCCCTTTTTGCCATTTCTACTTCCATTGACAAGGGCTGAGCAGATGAAGTTGATGGAGCAAATGCCGCCCGAGTCTCAAGTTATGATGACCAAGCCAGGATTGTTACCATTGTTACCGGACTCTGTACAAAACGTGTTGTTACCCGCAGCTGGCAGTGACAGTGACCAGGACGAAGCAAAGCAGGAGGAAAGTCAGACGAGTGAGGAGGCGTTGACGATACAGGAGACAGAGGAGATCAGGGTTGTGAGGATGCAGCAGAGGAGGCTGTTGACGCTCACACCGCCAACTAGGACAATGTCGGGCTTTGATTTCCATCGACCGGAAGTGGTGGACACAGTTCGAACGCCGCCGTCACGTGAGCAGGCGCTGAATGAGATCGTGGCGTCCAGGATGTGGAATGGGTGCAAGGAGTTGGTGAAGCTGCCGAGCTCGAAGACGCTCAACCGCACCGCTGCCATGTCGAGTGCACTGCTGGTGATGCAGCTGTATGCTTCCAAAGGAAGTCGGAAGGTTTTCCTGACCTTTGCGCAGCTCGTGGCCGCGTCGGCGTTGAGTTCGGTGGCGTGTTGTGCGATTTTCCTTCGCTTCGTGCAGCTACTGGATCTCAAGTGGACGTCGGGGCGTACGATGCCACTTCTGCGCTATGCAAGGCAATACTTGTTGCGTAACGGGAACGGTGGGACGCCGCAGATTTCTGACCAACCAGCTAATGGGGCCTCTGTGGCGCTGCGTACAGCCGCGTCTTCGGTGTCTATTGTGATGGCTGCATTGTACGTCCTCCGAAAATTGCGTCGGTAATTCGCTACCAAAAGAGAGCAAGTAAATTGTTGCTTGTAGAGTTATAGGCGAATGACTACCGGTAGGGTCATTCTGTCGAGGAAGTATTAAAATTTCTGCCCTTTCATATTTTGATATTAATACGAGCTTAATTCTAATATTAGTAGTATCAAATTCTTATTTTGAGGTACTACCGTATTTCGCATGTAGAGAGATGCACCTAATGTTCACATAGCAAATCAAACCCGGATAAATACATATTCAAAAGACACAATCAAATTATACAGGAACCTTTTTTTTCTTTAGATAAAGTGTATTTACACGACGGCTACGTCAGCCCATCCTCCTCTGCGGTGAGCCATCTATCAAAATCGTGATCTTCGTCAGTACTTAGTCCTACTAGCGATAGTCGCTGCAATTCGTCCACCAAAGACGCAGCCGCAAGGCAGTCGGTGTCGAGACGCAAGTCGCACTTCTTGTACCCATTTTGGATGGTTTCAGCACTCAGAGCTTCCCAACTGCTGCACACCCATCGGCACATCCCCGCGCGTCCAGGCGGCGCTAGCTTGAACTTTGATCCCTGTTCTCTTGGCTTTTGCAGCTGTTCTTGCAAATTTTCGAGCCAGCACCTACGTAGTCCGCTTTTGAAAGGATGGTTCCATGCTACGTCTGCCGGTTGACAGACAGACGTAGCATTTGGTGGCACCTTCATCAACACGACGTTGATTGAAGAAGCATAGGCAAGAACCTCTGCGGTCCAATGACCGCTAAAATCGTCCCAGAGGAGAAGCACGGGCTCCTCTTGGAACGATCGGCCGCCAAAGTGGAACTTCAGAAACTTCAGCGATAGATAACTATTCCACCAGCCTAAGTATAAAATAATTAGAATCATTACAACTATTAATAAATCGCTTTTAAAACACATACCTTTTGCATTCGTGTATATTTGTAGTTTGATCTCTTCTTGAAGGCGCTTGATCTCCGGCCACGTTCTAACACCAAATCCAAAGCGCTTTTCGATATTTTCGGCATGAGTCCTCTTATTCTTGGATGGATTCATCTTGAAGATGACAAACGGGGTGTATTTAGTCCCGTCAGAGTCTCCCAGTAGCATTACTGTAGCTCTTTCTTTAGAGGCTCCAGCACACTTCACCCAAACGGTTTTGGCCCCGCGTTTACTGATAGTTCTCTTCACAGGCAAATATTCAAAGAAAGCAGCTAGATAAAAAGTGAAATTAAAGCGTTTTTAATAGAATCAAGTTAAAATAAAAATAAAAACGAACCTGTTTGGTCTGCATTAAAAATGCGCTTGATACCCAGCTGACGAGCCTTCTTCTCAACTTCAATAGCAAATGCTACTTTTACCTTGTCAGCATCCGAGGGCCTGACTTGCCCTTGACGAGTAGGTACACGCATACTCAGGCGGTGTCGAAGTCTAAAGCCCTTAATCCACTTATCTGAAGCTCTAAATCCGTTGATGCCAGCTTCCATGGCAGTCTGAAGCGCTTGAATCGCTAGCATTCGAGGCGATACTGGTACACCCTCTTCCCTTAAGCAGTTCACCCACTCCACAATCTCTAATTCTACCTCCTTACTCAGAATTGTTCCTACGCCTAAGCTCCTTACCTTTTGATAGCCACCTTTATTCTTCTTCAATGCTGACCTTAGCTTTGTTTCCTCCCGTCGCCAGCGCTGAATCATAGTGCGCTTTGAGTTGTAAAAATCAGGATTTAGATCGTGCCAAAACTGATCAATGGTATGACGCATTTTAGGAAGAGGAGCATTTTCCCAAAACGACAGAATTTGTAGCTTCTTCTGCACCGTGATGCCCTTGACCGTGTGTTTGGTCTGGTGGCGTCCCTTACCACCGACGCGTGGTCTGCCCACTGGGCGAGGCTTCGTGCGTGACATGGCAAATGACCGACTGCCGGCGCAAATTTTTCCGCAAAGACTTGGTTGGCTTAGACATGGTGCATCTCTCTACATGCGATTCCTCAATTCAAGATAGCCGGATGTGATTGGTCAATATCTAGGTGCATCTCATATGAGGGTGCAGCTCTCTACATGCGAAATACGGTACGTAGTATTAGCTACTGTTCTGCGTTTGCTTTAGAGACAAAAAAATGTTAAGTCATTAAAGAACTGACGATTTTAAAGCGATCCGAGGTTATGAGGGCTACGAAGCGCTGCTAAACAAACTTGCCCACTGGAGTTAAGTATTGGCGCATCTCAATAATATCCACACTGAAATCTATTTTTAGCTAATCCAGATTTTGCTTAGATATTCCTTACTCCGACTTCAGAAACTACGTGTTCAGGTGGAAGTGGCTTCTGTCCGAGTGTGAAGACACTTAAGTATCGACCGTATGTGAATGCAGAGCAGGAGACGCGTTAGTTTGGAGGTGCAGCTATGTGAACGCTCTCAGTAAAACCAGTTTTAAAGAAGGAAAGGGTATTTTCCTAACTGCAGCTCGTATGTTGAGCGGAACAAGTTTGTTAAATTCATTATTTTTACTTTTAAAAAATTGTTTGGAGCAGGAATAACAATGTATGAGTTGCACCAAAGTAGATCGTCGTTCGCTCGATGCCGTCATCTATAGCGATGTATGTGTCTCTTTGGCGTTGACAGCGTGTAGAACCATAGCTACACCACACAACCCCCCCCCACGTGTGTGGATCCACGAACATGGTTGGTCAAGCACCTTTGCACCAAGCAAAGGAGCCTCGCCTAAAACGACGATAGACTACGAGAGCCCAATAAATGCAACGTGCGGTTTTTAGAGAAAAGTGTCGTTCCAAGTGTAATGTAATCTCGTGGCTACCCGACTCTGTCGAGTGTATGCTCGGTTATCAAGGAAGAAAGTAAGCGAGCTAAGAAACACTGGCGACATTCTGTTCCTGCGCCTGACATGGAACCTTGTTACCAACGAGGTCACAGCCAATGCTGTAGTTGCCCGACAAAAGAGATCATTATTAACTCTGGCAAGCGAATCTTCTTTAGTCTCGATGACATATCACCCTTTGACAGGAGACTCAGAGGCGGGTCTCCAGTACATCGATGCTGCCAGACAACACGGGTTGCGTTGGATGGTAATACGAACGCCGCAGAAGCTAGCTCAATGAAATTTTCCGACCCATAGATTAAGCTGGGTTAGCGAGAGCAAAGTCAGGGGGGGGAGCTTGTTGCGTCACTGGTCCTTTCAGAGTGAAATCAAAAGTGAGCTTGATATGGTTGTGAGCAACTTATCTCTTTATCGCTTTTTCCACTCTGCTATCATCCTTACGATATTCTTAAAAACTTGCCCTTTACTTTCTTCTGGAAAGTCCTAAGTAACTTTCCGTGCACGACCTGCAAACATCAGCCACCCATCAAGTCAGCCAGCCTTCAAGTCGGCTAGCATCAACTTGGCACAACATTTCCCCCATGGCGCTCGGCTTGAATGGTTTGACTCGGCGCATGTGTATCCGCACCACGTACTTGTCCTTGTTTATCAATAGGATATCATTAGCTCGGACCGAAAGTACTTGATAGGGTCGTTCAAGTTTCGCTTGCAACTCTGGGGCGTGGGGGCCATTACGTGCCACCATTACCCAGTCTTCTGGTTGGTATTCACGTTCGTCCCGTGCCTCATTCTCCTGCTGATTAGCCTTATCCACTTGTCGCTGCTTTCGTTGTTGCTGTTTCTGCCTGACGACATTAGCTGGGTAGTCGAAGAACATATCACGGCCAAATGCCGCTTGACTGGGAGACAATTATGTAATCGTGTGATGTTGAGCCCGTAACGCAAATGCCACCACTGACAAACATTTTTTTTCATTACTCGTCTGTGGTAATCTTCTTAACTCGCAGTTTATTGCCAATCGAGCGATGAACCCGCTCAATGACGCCATTTGTTTGTGAATTCTTTGTTGCGGTACTGATTCGATCGACGCCATAGTTTTCTAACAGCTCACGAAATTCTCCTTCAAATTCAACGCCTTGGTCGCAAATACGTCTTTCGGGTCTTGGATGCCGATTAAATCACACTTGGTCAACAATCCTAGCTGCCTCTGCACTCGTACCATCCTTCATTACCACGATTTCGATCAGTCGAGTACTTATTTCCATAATAGTCATTGCGCGCCATTTGAGCTGCCCCCCCCCCCCCCCAGAGGCCCAAGCGTGTCTACTGGAATCTCTGTCTACGGGCGGACCTCCACAGGTCTTGCTGGAATCTGCCCGTGTTTTATCCCTGCTACGAGCACACTGTTCACAATTCCGTACCCACTGGCGAGCTGCTTCCGTTATTCCTGGCCATATCAATTACGGCTTTCAACTACTTAACCCCCCCCCCCCCCTGTTACCGACGTCGTAAGTTATGACATAATCCAAATTGTAAGTCGTTCCTTACGACTTTCAATTTTTCTCATAAAGTTGTTGGCTCAGAAACGGCGACCCAATACTGAAATCAAGTTTAATGTGGGGCCCCTATAATATAAGGCGGGAGAGGTTTTTGCTGCTCACACAAAGACAGTACGAGGGAAAGGGTTTGAGTGCAGCACTGTCGGCATTTGATGAAACGCCAGAAAACTACGTGAATTCTCAGCCATTCGTGCTTTTGCCGACAGAGAAGCAAGTGAACTGCCGATCCGTGTCAGCGCGAGGACGGAAGCCGCGGCTCAAGCGTCAACGTCACGACCGCACTGGATGCGCGCCTGGTCGACTTTGGCCACCTGTGGCACCAGCAGATGGCCGCTGGGTGGACCCACCGGACTGTCAAATGCTTCGGCCTACTAAAAACCGTCAAGCAGAGCTCCTGCAGAGGGGGGGTTCTATGGTACGGGTTGTTGCTGCTGTATTACTATAGGTCATTTCTAACTTGCTGTTCTACTTCAGTTTCCGCGAATACTACAAGACCATCTTTCTCGGACTTCTCGACCTGGCGCTCGTCAACGCGTACCTGACGCACAAGGAGGCGAGCCGGCTAGCAGGCGGGGCACCCATGTAGCGCTACGAATGGTCGAAAATGCTGCACAAGCAG